TTTGGAATCAATTCAATCTGCCTCTGAATAAACTCATATAATATACTCAAATAATAAACTCATTCAAATAAAAACTTAATTTTAACCAACTGAAAAAGAAGATTTTTTTCTTTCCCTGTAAGAGAGGATTTCAGTTAATTTGAAGAAATGCGTTATATATGTATATCATGTAATGAAAGCCACTGTAGGTAAGAAAAGAATAGGACTGAGTGAGCATACCTTCTGCTTGATTCCAAAGTTACACTAAAGGGTAAATTAGTATATAAATAGACTACTACTCTTTTCTGGTTCACTAGTAATTACTTCTCATGAAAGAGAAGAAGAGAAAACCCACTTGTGTTCTTTTCTGTTACTCCTGCAGTAAAAATCTGTAAGTACTGTTTTGCCTCATTTCATAGAATAATGGAATGGTTTGGGTTGGAAGGGTCCTTAAAGATCATCTAGTTCCAACCCCTCTGCCAAGGGCAGGGACCCCTTCCACTAGACCAGGTTGCTCAAAGCCCCATCCAACCTGGCCTTGAACACTGCCAGGGATGGGGCAGCCACAGCTTCTCTGAGCAGCCTGTGCCAGTGTCTCACCACCCTCACACTGAAGAAGTTTTTCCAAATATGTAATCTAAATCTACCCTCATTCAGCTTGAAGCCATTTCCCCTTGTCCTGTCACTACATGCACTTCTAGGGATGGGCTATTTCTCTCTCTTATTCAACATATCCATTATGAAACTGCTAAACCACTAAATTCTTGCTTCTCTGGTCATGTCTCCTCCATCTTCCATATGTTTTCTGTCTTTTGATATTACTTTTGATCTTTTTGTCTCTTCTTCAAGGTTCTCTAAAATTCTGTAATTGTACAGAATTCTGTCACACATTCGGACAATAACATATAGCATGAACGACGAACTTTCTTTTTGAGGCAAAAGGGTATGATTAAATTCCTGACATTAATCATATGTTCAAGAGCACTGTAATCATAATAATCTCACTTGCTTACTCAGATCATGGCTTTGTGACCTTCTATTTCTTCCCTACATGGAGCACATATGATTAATAGAGAATATAGTATTCTTCATCTGTTGAAGATCTTGCTATCAGAGCACGAGTGCACATATACTTTGTGAGTGACCACTTCCATTCATGCTGACAGTGTCCCCAAGCTTTTTCTAAACATCATTCCATCTCCAGCTGTGAGGTTCACTTCTGATGGACATAGGAACACCAAATACCAGCGTGAACAGGGAATTGCTGTCTGGCTCATTGTTTGCCACAGGAACCATAGTTCCAGACTTTCCCTATTCATTACAAAACTATGCATTCAGAAGACTGAAGATGTCATTACTTGGTGTTATTAATACCAACCACGGTTTCATGGAAGACATGAGTTGAATCTTTCTATTTCAGCTTTAAATGAGTATGTATTCTTTACAAGTCTTTTTGGACAAGAAGACAAAGAGAAGGAAGGAGTGATAGAAACATCAACAACCTCTAAAATCAACAGGAAAGAAATAGTAAGAAACACAATGTGCCTTTAACATGGGATTAAAGGAATAAAAACATGCTCAAAGAGTTTTTTAAAGGATTTTTTCTGGAACCTGCTGCTCAGTTTTTCTTTATTTGTGAACTGAGAGCTTCCTACTGTGCTTGTAGGAGTAAATCACGGTAGGCAGGAAGTTCTAACACACTACAATGTGTTGAAGAAATATCAACAACAGCAAAATAATGTGGCAGTGTGGGAGCCTCAGCGTGCATTCATGCCAAATGGTTCATGTCGAAATGGAAAACACAAAGATTATTTTTCAGTAACAAAAGAAAATCAATATTTTAAATCAATGCCAGTCATGGGGAACAGCAAGAATAAGTAACAGAAGACCATAAAGCGCCTTTGGGAACACTCAAAAGAAAAATGCAATGAATGTAAAACCATTATACCGAAATAAAAACCTCTCTGCCCCACACAAGGATAGATTTGCAAGTCAAAATCAGAAACCATACTGATACTAATTTTTCATGTTTCCACTTCCAGGCACTTTTTGAAAACTTACTTAGGTATCTGAGTTAAAGTTCTTCAAAACCCACCAGGTTAATACCCATCTTTCTTGCCCATCTGTCATGGTTTAGGCTAAATGCCTCCTAATTACTATGCTGTTGTGTGCAGGAGACCCTTGCAGATCGCAGACCTGTCTGCACATACTGGTTCTGTTCTACTCATATACCATGCAGCCAGTGGAAAGGCAGGTGGGCTCCTGGGAGACAAGAGGGGGTACCCTGGCAAGCACAGTGGTGCCCAGCAGTTTGGACATACCAACACACACTACTCAGTAGCTGGAATCCCCTCTTTGCAGATCAACTGTGACAGAAGTGTAAAGACATGGTTAGCCTGCTTATTTGTTTTACACAATTGAGCAGTTTGGTGCAACACCATGTTTGAGTGAGACAAAGTGAGTTACAAAGGTTCTGCACAGAGTCTATAAGGTACCTCTGTCTGAATTATTGTTTGCTCAGGAAAAGAACCAGACTTGCATTGCTCCATGTGCCATAGCAGTGTTCCACCTAGGCTAGTAAGGCCTGCCAGGCTGAAACCCCTGACCTGGTCTGTGAGGGACCACTTGTTTGAACAAAGTCCAAACCAGTAAAACCCCACAGACCCAGCTAGTCCATATGAAGTGTCTTCCAAAACCTGTGTTGGAGAGGTTTTTATGTTACACACCACACATAGATTGCATTCTTTCCTCCATCACTCTCCACTTTAGAAAGCTGGATGTAACTTAGCACAAACCCATCTTATTGGGGTGCCTCTAAAATAGCTAGCAGGTATAAACACCACAGTACTCAAATCTGGGAGGGATACCCTTTTCCACCAGAAGGAATGTGAACTAAAGCAAAGATACCTATTAAGTAGTTTTCTCAGAGTCGACAGGAAATTTGTGCTTGGCCAACAAATCGAATCAAGATTTCCAAAGTCCCTTTCTATTCCCTTAGCCGTTAGAATACTTCCTCTCCCTATGTACAGTATAGTATAAAGGAAGTAAATTGTAAATAACTCACTACACTGAGTAAGTGGAGTTTCACCAAAGCACAGGCACAGATCTATGTAACTGTTGAAACAGAACTTTTAATAATGCTCCCTTTAGTATGTGGAGCAGTAATATTTACAGACCCCAGGGAGGAATTAATAAAACCAAACTTACTGCAAAATTTAATTAAAATTATACAGGGCAATAGAGAGTCTTCACTAGCTCCTCCTAAGAACTCCATCCTTCACAGGATATTGAATGATGACAATATACTTAGCTAATAAAGGTCAGAAGAATGGAAATTAATTGAATGTGTCCTAAAGGCAAGGTATATATTCTCCAATCTGATTAACTCTTTCCAAGATTCAGATTTATGCACCATGTTCCTCTCAAGGAACAAAACTCACCCAAACCCTTAGAAAATAGCTACCACATCTCTCACCTAGAGACTTAATGCATGAATAATATCTTTAACATATTGCAAAGGCTTTAAATACGTTAGCTTTTTTGGAAGTCTACTATCTTTTTACTTTGGATTGACAGAACTAATAATGCATGACGAGATGAATAGAGGTGTTTGTGTTAATTCAGACTTTCAGATTTTGCTTTCTTTGGGATGTATTTTAGTCTATATTTAATAAGAATAAAGCCTATTTTCAGCAGTATCCCAATAAAGTAATATTTGAACACATTTCTTTCCTTTGGATTGCTTTCCCTTGATTGACATCCGGCAACGTCAGAGATTATTGCAAACCCTGCAGATATTGCACAAAGGGATGCAGAATGAGAAAAAAACTTGCTAGTTGAATTGCAACTATAAGAAGTTGTAGCACCCACTGATGCTTGAGGTTTATGTTCCCTGGAATGCAATTAATTGTATGTTCACACAATTCCTAAAAGGAGGAAGAATGAAATACAATGGACAAAGGCAGACCAGGCAACTCAGATGCCATCTGAACTTTCATCTGGAGCAGTTTTCATTGTGAGTTCAGCTATGTTTTATCTACTTACTTAAGACTGTTTCTTGAGAATACCACAAATGATATTCCTATTGCTGTCAAAAATAAGAATTAAATTTGGAATTATCAATTAAGAAATATGCTATAATTAAATATACGGCAGTGGTTTGACAAAGCAGAAATATTTGAGAATGAACAGCTTGTGGAGGGCATGAAAGGTGCTTGCCATTTTAGTGTTCAGCAATGTACAACTGCCAACAAGTACATGTATTTTAGTTTACACATTAAACCAAACATAACCAAAACTGCCAGCAAACATCATGCTATCAGATTGCTATCATAGATTTGGCTTTATATTCTGAAGCAACTTTGTTTCATCCAGAAGTAACAATATTCAAGTTGCAAATAAAAGCTTGAGCTGCTGTAATAAAAAGGGATTTATAAAAATATTACTTATCTTGGTCTGGATTTATTTAAACAATGAGGATAGAGTTTTACAAACTCACCTATATCTAAGTGCGAATATTAAATCTGGAAGTTTCAAACAGTGTATGGCTTACTACCTACATGCCTCTTCCCATTTCTTCTATAAGCTTACTTCCAAGATGGAACAAGAGAAATGAGGTACTTCTGTGTTTATTATGATTAGTTTTGCTTCTTGGCATATGTTACTTTATTTTGCAGTTAATAAACAAGCTTTTCTGTTGTGAATAACCTAGGAATGGAATCAGTTTGTACATAAAGTCTGACAGATAAAGGGTGATTACTTACATTATTTTATATTTTAAAAATCTAAAATCTTTCTCAAAACAGAGCTTTTATAAAGAAAGTATCATTCTGATCTTCTCCCTTTCAGCATGGTATATTTTTTTTTGTTGATTTTCAAGAACATGCCCGCACTGCAGAAAGCAATGGATTCAAAGAAATTTATGACTAAAAGTTTTGTAGCTATTTCTCACCACAGTCTCCTTATGCCAATATTTGAGTGGTGCTGGTTACACACAGATTTATTAAAAAGCAGTGTCATACCTGTAGACATGCAGGAGCTCTGCCCTGGGGTTTATTCACATCAACAGCCACAAGCTGCCAACCTCCAGCAGCATCTTCATGAAACATCTTGAAAGGGAAGATTGTTGTCAGAAATGTTTTATGTGCCAATAAATACAAGCGAAAAATAATACATTCCCCTTAAGGACCTGCATACATTTTGATGGGAGCTAGTCTAAAATAAGAGGGAATTGGTTCTTATTGCTAGGGAGAAAAGAAAGCAACATGCTCTCTTTCCATCAGTAATAGATTCTGAATTTTACCCACACAACATCAAACACAAAGTGTCTCTATTAGTTCTAATGTAGAAACCAATACAATTAATCTCTGATTAGTATCATTAGATAGTGGTACCTGTTCAGAATAAATTCCTTACTAAGGTAAACTTATCCTGAGGAAACACAAATACATTGTGAACACCGAAGAAGTTTCATGGTGCATTTGGAAATAATAGACAACCTTGTCTTTTTTACTGGCAAGATTATTTTACTCCAAGGATCAGATTTTAATTTTGTCACACTGAGCCATATCAAGAGTAGCTATAGAGTCCTTCTGTATTGTTAACCAGAGCTTATAATTCCTGCAAATAGCTGAATGATACCCAGGCTCTAATGATGTCAATGGAAAAGGCTCTCCTGACCCAGCAGTATTCCCATTTTACTTCTGGAAGTGTTAAGTATAGGCATTTATTATTTTTTTTTTTTCCCCTCAGAAATTAGGACATAAAAAACATGCAGACTGCTGGACATAAGGAAGAGTGAGAAACCATGTCTGGATGTGATTAACACTGTCCTTGAAAATGTCCTTGAAAGAAAATGAATGGCTTTAGCATTTTGAATTGCTACCTGAGAGTCTGCATATACTACGTAATGAAGCGTGATGAAGTTCCCACATCACTCCCACCTTTTCCTTGACACCCAGCACCCAAACGAGTCACCTTGAGAACACAGCCACAGCAGCACGGTTGAAGCTTAAAAGCCATCCTGAGAGAAGTGCTCATTAGACTGGGTACAGTATCAAATATGGTTACAATGCTGCTGAGTCCTTATTTAGCACCTCTGCACCAGAATGAGTTGTACAGACATCTCAGTCCTGAGTTATTCCTCTTTGTGCCATGCTTTAGCGTGCAGTGCTAAAGTGCTTTACAAGAACCTCCTTTTATCCCTCTCCAGAGACCCCTCCCTTGACTTTGACTCACGGACACTCATTTTCTTTTCTATAGGACTACATTTCAGGATAAGTTTAATGATTTGTGAAGTGGGCAAATGAAAAAAGATATTGTTATTTTTTTTCTCAAGGTTATTTCATGCACAAAACAAGGAAGGGTTTTAACTTCCATCTGGTGCTTTCAACACGAAAACCTGCAAGAAATTTTCTGCCCTTCTTAATACAGAAAAAAAATTGGTTTTTGTAATTTAGTAAATTGGAATCCTTTTGTGTCCCACTATGCCAGTGGCTCAAGGAATAAAGCAACCATTTGCTTGTCTGCAGCCAACATATGATTTTTATTTTGCATGCTGTAATTTATATTCAACATGTTCATATTCTCTGGCATGATGACATAATTTTTGGAATTTCTTTTATCTTTGAAATGCCTTAATGTTGGCTGCTTCTTGCTTTTTATGTTCCAGCTTCTAGCTTGCAGTATATCAGTTAAGCTTGTATGGCTCAGGAATTTGCCCCATCCCTGAGATCAGAGATGAAATGAATATTAAGTTCCTTAGCCTAAGTATGCATCATGTGGGGAAGTCCTTTTTTTTTTGTTAGATTTTAAATTTATATCACCAAGTCTGTTTTGACAAAGACATAAATAGAGGAGAAGTTACTGCCACAAAGTCTATTTGAGGCAGAAAACGTAACAGCAGGCATTTACATATGGATTACAGGAATATCCAGAGGAATATCAGAAAATATTTAATAAATAATTTTGAAACACTTAAATCCTCTAGCTTAGAGAAAATAAATACTCTCTAGCTACAGAGGTTAGAAATACTTTCCTCATGGGCATGTTTCGCATATCTGTCTTTCTAAGAGATTTTTGCAGGCAGTTGGTACTGGTCCTTCTTATAGCAGGCAAACCGCACTAGCGTGGAAAAGCCTGGCTTTTTGTATGTTCAGGATATATAATATGATTGTTACAATCATGAACGAAAGAATTTCAATCTTAACCCGACAGCCCACGTTTTTTATACTAGTTCTTTCACACTACACAGCCCACATGCAGCACCATTGCTTCTTCCTACCCATTTTCTCTTATTCAAGGTCCGAATTTCTGCAGCTACCTCAACAATTAGCACGGCTCTTTCACTGCCTCAGGACACTGTTCCTCCTTGGTCTCAACATGGTCTCAACATGCCCTTCTCAGTTCCAGGACCAACTTCCCCAAACACTTCAGCTACCCTCTGACCTCTCCCAGCTACAGCTTGCAATTTCAGCTCTTCTTCCTTAGTCCAGAAAGTGATAACCAGTAGCAACTGCGATTCCAAAGTCACCAATGACATGATAAGGAAGCACTATTGTACTCCATTAAAACAAAATAAAAACATAACGATAACATACCCAGCCATATAGAAAACCATGGTACAGTCTTCTCTATTACTGTTTTTTAAGAAAGCCTAGTTGGATAATACAAGCTGGAATTCAATTTTATATGAAAATTCATGTATCAACTTTAAAATATATGTAGTAACATGCAAAGTCAAATAAATCAGATCAAATAGCGGGGGGGTTTTTGCTTATTATTCCTTCATAAACTAAACCAAATCAAGCCCCCAGAGAATCTTAGCATCTCAGGTGCTTCACCTGGGTGGTGGCAGTTGAAGTAGTACTGCTCCTGGACCCCCACATCTGCTGGAACTGCACTCTAATTTCTGCAAACGTTTCAATGATGACTGCAATGAAAACATTCTGAAAGAAAGAACAAGAAAGAATGGCTGACACAAAGCTCAGCAAGCAGAAAAGAGAAGAAATTCATTCTAATATGATCTACATTGCAGAGGGGTTTAAAAGAACACATTTTTCAGTACCTTAACAAGCCAGGCCAGAAAGAAAATTAAGGTGATGAAATAGAAATATGAACGCCATCGGGGAAAACTGTCGATTGCTCGGTACATAAGGAACACCCAGCCTTCCTGAGAAGCAGCTTCGTAAACAGTAAATATGCTTGTGCCTGTCAGAGGAAAAATGAAAATGTTTGGCATTAAGCCTCCCTGAAAGTTTTCAATATCAGCAAACAATAATCTTTTATCTATTCTATTTTCCTTTTCTGTAAAGGGTATCAGGTCTCCTCCTTCACAGGGAATTTTTTCAGGTGAATTTACATGTTTCTTCCTTTTGCAATTCAATATGAATTGTTTTTCTATCAGATCAGACTGACTCCCTTTTCTGCCTGGACACACATGGATAATCCCTTAGATGGATTCACTGATAGCCTGCAAATGTCTCCAAAGGCAGAATTTGTCCCATCCTGTGACTTCAGCAGCACCCACGAGTAAAGAGAGATTCTATTAAAACTATTGAACTGTTTCAAAATTCAGGCCAGTAGCCAGGGTAGCTGCATTAACACACACGTGTTGCCTTAAAAAGCACTACAGCATTTTTAAGTTGAACTTCCTACATCACTCTGGGGAGGAGAGAAGAAGATGACAAAAAGGTATGAAAGCCTTATGTGTGCAGAAACCACTTTTGAATAAAAGCTATTAGATTACTAATTTTAAACTTAAGATTTAAACTCATTCTAATGTCTGAGTTATAATATGCTTCAGCCAGTTTCCCCTTCCTTATCTCTGCAATAAAAACTTCAAAATACAGATTGTGGTTAGGGCTTGTATGGCATTCCTATTTGATGCAATTTTCTGTTTCGAGAAGGAACACAATTAAACTGTGAAATTAAACTGTGAAATCTCACAAACTGCTGTGAAATCACGGAATTGTCATACAGCCACCTGCTAGCTCTGCTCCACTACTGCTTTGTTCCATGAAACACCTCAGATAAAAGAGGGAGCGTGAGGAGTACTGCCTTTAGCAAAACATAGCAGCTGCTAGCAACACAGAGATAGTAAGCACAAACCAGCTGGCTATCTGATTCCATCCACAGGGAAAGGAGTGGTTAGTCAGAAATTCCCAGAGTCCATGAGTTTCCCAAAAATTCACACCAAATCACAGGAGCACTGTGCTGCCATTCTCTCACTGAATTTGCAGCATCTACATCGTCTCCCCTGTTAACACTGGTGGGATAAACCTGGAAGTAGTTTTGCCTCACAGAGTCCCTTTTTTGTAGATAAATCTTCAATGATAAAAGAAGACAGGGATGAATGGAATTTTTTCACTCCCTTGGATGTAGGTGTTGAATGGTTAACAAGCTCATGGTGGACAGGCAAAAATGTTAATCCTCTTCCTTAATTTTTCTGGTTATTGGATTCCTTCCTATTTACTGCATATGGTTCTCAGGACCAAGGAACAGAAATAACAATAAAAGGAAAGAAAAAGCATTCAAGTATAGATAGCAAAACCCTTTCTATTTCTTCAGAAAAGAGAGTGGTCTCCATCAATAGTGAAATATTCATCAGTGATTACTTCATGGGTATTTTGCATTTCAGAAATTCATAAAGTAATGATTCAATTATCTAATATTATACTGTTGCTGAACTGATTAAATTATTGAACAAAACAGTGCTGTTGAGGACAGGCAGAGATTAAGGAGAAAAAAAGGAATCTATTAAAAGTTGCTGGCTAGGAAACTGTCATTAGTCATTACCAATGGGAAAGTCACAGTGAAGATTAGTAAAATAGAGGGGATGTCATGCAAAGTATTTATAACACATACACTGGGCCATCTGCCACAGTAAAGCAATACTGTGAATGGACAAAAATGCACAATTAACCCAATTAAAATAACATGTGCTCATCTGTGATGCTAAATTAAAAATGCCTTTTATATAAATGGTCCAGGTGTTCTTAAGGCTATTAGAAAGCAATCACCACTAAGAATATATATTCTTCCTTAACATATGTAACTCAAAAGTAATAAAGTTTTTAATACTGATGCCAAGAACCATACTGTTAACTACCTCTGTAAATACTGTTTCAACTGGAAACAGAATAAAGGAATAACAGTAAGGGATCCAACACCATGAAATGTTTTGCAGGCAAAAAGAAGAGTAATTCTTAGTTAACATCTGCCTTACTGCAGTTTTTGCTCTTCTAAAAGTTACACTTACCATCAGCAACTGACTCTAATTTTTTCTAAGTATTTCTTTAATATCTGACTACATCTTCCTAAAGCCAATGCCTAAGTTATTACAGTAACTGTCCTTTCACAGCAGCATGCTGTTTTTCTCACCATGTTCAAAGACATACAGAGGGAGAGAAAGTACCAAAATTCTAAGTAATGGAGGGATACATCACAAAAAAACAGTCCAAACTTTATGCCCCTTAGATCAAATGGCAAAATTCTCCTTTCCCACAGGTGTCAGTATTCTATCTACCACTGACATAGTGTCTTCTTCTACTAGTTCAGAGGGCTTAAGTCCTGACCACAAAGTGCTAGGAGTCCAATGGTTAGGGCATGAGAGCATAGGACCGTCTGGAGTTGGTCTAAGAAAAGCAGGAATATGGGTGGCAGGGTGAACGAGGGCTTAGAAACCTTGTTGTCATCTTTTGTCAATGTCCTGAACATTTAGATCAAGATTTGTGCAATCTACCTACAGGCATCAGCAAGACATTTCAGTCATGAAAATGCTTTGAACCATGAAGAGGGTTAAACACAGGACTATAATGATATTATTCATCAGTTTAGGCATATTGGCATGGGTAACTTGCTGAATTTAGGAGTAGGACTTCACCATTTGCATCTAGAATATTGTTAAATCTTAGTAAATAAAAACATCCAGAAAATATTTACGGTCATTTTCCTATTTGTCTCAGTAGATGGCTAAATCTGAGCGGCAAGACAGATTAAAATCATTTAGGAGGAACTTTCTGATGACAACAGAGGTAAAATAAAGGAATATACTTTGAAGTTATTTCCTTTTGTTTGACTTGCCTAATAAATTCCACATTTTTAGGTTACAATAAAACAATTCACTTAACCACATTGATATATAATTAAAACAAAGAAAGAAAACATTTCTTAACACACAGATTAAACCTAAATAAATCAATATCATAATCTGTATCAGTCTCAAAAGACTGGTTTTATCCAACCAGTAAACACTTTTACCTTTGAAAATGGTTTACAGCTGCACACAGTCATTATTAAAAATGAAAGAAAAAAAACCCCAGCAATTGAAAGATTCAGGGAATTGTAGGAAAAGAGACTGAATGTTGCTCAACTTATGCAACATTTTCAGTTGCTTCATACTGTATAGAAGAAAGTACAGCAATCAGAAACTAGCTGTACTAATGCATGTTTAGGTACAGTGGCATTCAGCACTGAAATGCAGGGGGCTTATGCCTTCTTCAGTATATGTTTATTTCAGTTCTACCAGCTGGGAGCATTAGCCCAAAGGGGCATGGAGGAAGTAGTTGCTATAACACTTAAATTGTTATAATAAAAGAAAATTCTACTTGTTTCCATGCCTAATCAGGGAGCAAAGTCACCTGCTCTTCTGTGCTGTACAGATGAACAAAGTACCAGGGAAAAAAGAATTATAAGAGGCAGAGCACCTAGGTGATGATTTTCCATAGGGGAGTGAAGAAACCTATCCTGCCAAAACCCTACCTTTTAAATACCTAAGGAGTGTAGAAGGTATTTATTTAAAAGAAATGACTCACAGCTGACAGAAGAATAACAGCATCATTATGCAGGGATGTTATTTTACATAGTGTGTTTTATACTTATGCATATTTTGTAAACAGGCAGGATTTTCTGCTTATTTCTGTGCCTCTGTGACACTACCATGCTCTGTGACAGCAGCTCTTGCTATCACCAGGTCTTTCTGTGAATGGACATCATTAAAAAGGGAGTGCACTGAATAATGCTGTAATTTTATAACTGCAGAATTAAAGGAGCAGAGCTAAAAAGTCACATGGAAAATTCACTGTATCTGGAAACAGAACCTTTTCCTCCTAACACAATGTGATGTTCTTGCTTCTCGATTCGAAATCTCATAGTATTAGAGGAAGAGAATGTATGGTGGTGAGGTGCTGTCTTTTATTAATATCTTTGTGCTATGTGATTTGTAGCTATTCTAAGTGAGAAACAAAAAACAAACACTAAGGTTAGGTATGCCATCAACTCCAACATTTTCTACATGCATAATCTACGTCTATTGACTATGTTGGTTTACCATGTCAGCGTTCACCCAGTTTTCTTGTGCCTGCTGTGAAACTGCTGAGAAAGAAAATCTACAGAAGGCCCACTTTATGGTAAAAAAAAAAAAAAAAAAAAAAGGAAAAAAAAAGGTAAATGGCTTGATTTTTATTATTTTCTTTCTTAGTGAGGAATTACTCGGGCAAGTAAAAACGTTATTAAAAGCTTGAAATCCTACATATTGTCACCCATGAAATGCTTCATATGCCAGTCAGCAACAGGCTCCTTTTCCTTACTTTCCAGTAGCCACTAGATGGCGATCGTGCACCTCGGGCACATCTGGAACATCAGGCGACGGGGAAGCCTCCACCCTGAGCGCGCAGGGTGATAACCGCCCGCTGTGCTCGCAAAAGGATTGATTTTTCTATTTCCCGGCAAAACTAAGCAGCCCTCTAGCAGGCGCTGCTGCCTAATTTAACTCTTTTCGTTGTGCCGAATACTGTGCTTTCCTTAAGATGGTTTCGTGAATGTTATGTCCATAAAGAAATGACCTTTTGCTTAGCTATGGAAATGTTACCAACCCTGTTTCTGTCCTTGCTCACTTCCACTGATAAAATCATGAAGCTGATGCATGAAGGCATGGATATTCCCACTGACCAGTCAGCTTTTAAATATGTCTTACCTTTCAGTATCAAGGTGTTTGTACAACACTGCGTGCAGTCAGGATTTTCCAGCTGGCTTACACTATTGCTTTGGTGAAACTAGAAGGGAATAAAAATTGCCCGGAAATGCAAGGACAAAGTTGTTAGCACTTCTGGGTAGCAGCTGGTAGATAGGACTGAAATCAACAAGATCAAATCCTGAATGGCTTCATGGAGTTTCTTGCTTGTCTATGAGGGAGTGATCCAGTCTATTTT